GTACTGTATCTGCTAACAACTATTTGATGGTTTGGCTGGTCTCGAAGGTCTCTTGGGTAGCGAGACATTAGTAGGATAGACCGTGCATTGGTTTCTACTTTTTAAGGCTCCGAAGAAGGTGAGATCGCCAAAACGTAGCCGACGGAACCATTAACCTCGTGTGCTGTCAAGTCAAATAAATTGTACTCAACTCAGTAACTATAATAGAACCGCATCCTTACCACTAAGAAAAATTCATATCTTGTAGTAATCGACATCTCGATGGATGACGTAATGTAGCTGGGCGGAGCAGGCAGCAGGTGTGAAGGAGATGGCTCGCGTAGGATAGGGGCCTTGTCTTTTACCATCCCCCGCAGCCCTGTTTTTGTCTCCCCGTAGCATGCTACCAGATCCCGTTCCGCCCAAGGCATTCGATTCGTTGTTCGTTTTCAAGCCAGGAACTGCGGCTGATGAAGACTGATTCTCTTCCACTCTAATTGAAATCTATGGAAGAATAAATGTTCCTTGGAATAGGGCAGACCACCGCTACGGAATAGCAGAAGTATAAACACAACAAAATAACATTCTGTTTAATAAAGTTCTTTCGCAATTCCACTAAACGCGGATCACATCAAATCTTTCACCTTCAGTTTTTAAAGCCGAGTAATATTCTCCTGCTTCTCATGAAAGTGCTTTTAAATTGAGATGTATGATGTGGAATCAAGATGTTTGCAATATCAAAGAAATACGAAAGGGAATACAACTAACCTATAAGCAGCGGTATTTTAAGCCCTACACGCTGCATTTCTTTAGCAACATGAACCATTTCGTCCAGCGATGGCGTTATGAGGCCCGAGCAACCTATGAAATCTGAAACACGTGTAAACGATTAGATAAGAAAGCAACTATGTAAAAATGATCGTTACCGTAATGAAAAGGCATGAGCCAGGATTAGCAGTACATTATGTATGTACGTCGGAAACAAAGTAAGCAAACTTGTTGAAATCATTAATACCGGAAACAATAGTAAAAGTGGCCTTTATGAAAAGTTGACCACAACTCACCAGCTTGCTCTTCAACAGCAGCTTTGATTATTGCCTCGCAGGGTGTCATCACACCCAGATCCACCACCTAAAATCACTTTCTTTTTCCAAGGCATGCATTTTCTGAGGTTGCAAGTTGCAAAGCCTTCGCCACCCGCTGATGTTCGAGAATCTCGTTCTGCGTGGTGCATTGTTCGGCATTTTATAATGCTTGCTACTTTATGTCTTTTTATCTCCTTTTTTGAGTTCGAGAGGATATCTCTTCATCGCGTAGCGGTGAAATGTAAATATCATTGTTGTTAAATTAGCGCCAACGAAAAGTTGGCTCAGTCCGAAACCTAGTTTTTATATACTATTATTTTATATTCGATTTAGCATCTAAATTTGGTTATTTATCTACTTTCATTCAATATGAAACAGTGCACATGGAGTGATATCTACAAATCAATGTGTGATCGAACATGCGCACAAGTGCCCCTACGATTTTGAACAAAGTTGAATGCGTGGCGCATGCGAGATCAGACTGATCCCGTTCATCGCTTCATTATCAACTCATCCTGGTGGAAATCAGACTGAGATGTATTTCATAACTTCTGACGAGTAGATCATCCTACTTAGAAAATGATGAACTGGCCAATCGCCGATGTGAAGCGTTGTCCAAGATGAATGACCATCAAAGCAAGTCACAGCCAACAAGAAACTTTCCACACGCGCCATTCCTAACTGTTCATGAAGTTGTGATGCAATACTGTCTGCAGAAGCATTATACGCTGAGGAATATAACATGCATGTAGGCGTTGAACATAGGTTTTTATTACGTCAAATTTCCTCTTCTTTGTTTTTTCTTCTCGACTTCCAGTTTTTATCTTGAAAAGATTCTTCTTCTTCTCCCTAGCGTTAGTCCCGCGCCGTCGCAGGGTCCGCTGTTCTTATCAGTCGTCGCCACTTCGCTCTGTCCAGGGCATCCCCTGCAGTGGCCATGATTTCGCTTAGGTCCTTCTTGACTACGTCCTTCCACCTCTTCTTTGGGGCTCCTCGCGGTCGCTTGCCTTGCGCTTCGAAGTCCATTGCATTCCTTATTGGGTGGCCTTGTGGTCTTCTTAGCACATGCCCATACCACCGCAGTCGCTGCTCCCTCACCTTCAGCTGGACAGGGGCAGTCTGCATGACCGCTCTGACATCCTCGTTCCTGACCCTGTCCAGTCGCGTCCAGCCGCAGGCCCATCTCAGCATCCTCATTTCGGCGAGTGAAGCTGCCTTTCGTGGTTCTTGTTCAGGGGCCAGCACTCGCTGCCGTAGAGCATCGCAGGCCTTACCACTGTCCGGTACACCTTTCCTTTGAGCGTTCTAGAGCACCTTCGGTCGCAGAGGATTCCAGTGGATTCCCTCCATTTCATCCATGCCGCGTTGATCCTCCCCTTTACTGCCTGGTCCACACTGCCGTCGGCCGCCAGATCACTCCCAAGGTATCGGAAGTCCTCCACTCTTTCGATGCTTTCGCCATGTCCATCCACGATCGGCTCTGCACTCTCTTCGGAGCTCAGGAACTTGGTCTTCTTGACATTTAGCCGGAGCCCCCCTTCTGCCAGGGCCTTCTGCCACTTCTGCACCTTGGCCTGTAGTTCTTCTCTGCTATCAGCTATCAGGGCGATGTCGTCAGCGTAGAGGATGGTCTTTAGTGGTCCTTCTATGAGCCCCTTCACCATGACATCTAGTGTTAGGAGGAAGAGGAACGGACTCAGAGCTGACCCTTGATGCACCCCAACCGTGATGTTTACCTCTTTTGTTAGGCCATGTGGGGTGCGTATGGCTGCCTTAGCCCCGTCGTACATGTCCTTCACCAGCGAGACCAGGTGTTCTGGCACGTTCCGTTCTCTAAGCGCTCTCCACAGTACCGCTCGTGGTAGCCGGTCGAACGCCTTCTCCAAGTCGAGGAAGGCTAGGTAGCAGGGTCGGCGCTTTTCTCGATACTTCTCCATCACTTGTCTTGCGATGAAGATGGCATCCGTCGTAGACCTTTCTTGGCATGAACCCCGAAACTGTTTCCTGGAGATGGTAAGACCTAGTTCCGGCGCGAGTTTCGAGTCGACCAGTCGCTCGTACAGCTTCATTGTATGAGCAGTCAACTTGATCCCGCGGTAGTTGGAGCAGTCCATCGCGTCACCCTTCTGCTTGAAGATGGGGACGATAGTACTTGTTCTCCAGGCATCTGGCATCCTTCCTTCCGCAGTTATGTTGTTGAGGAATCGTGTGAGCCATCTTATCCCGTACTCACCGAGCGCCTTCCAAGCCTCGATTGGCACCCCATCTGGGCCAACCGCCTTCCCAATCTTCATCCTCCCAAGTGCACACCTAACCTCATCCTCAGTCCAGAGTGCGATGGGACCAGCTGTGGCCTCTGCCCGTGAGTTGTTCTCGTGGGGGAACTCCTCGTTCAGAAGTGCACTGTAGTACTCTTCCCACCTCCTCTTGACTTCGGCTGGCTTCCTTAGGATGACACCATCTCTGCCTTTCACACTTTTCACCACCCTGATGTCTTGGGTAGCACGATGCCGGGCCTTAGCCAGCCTGAAGACGAACTTCTCTGCGTTTCGGCTCTCCAACTTCTCGTACAGGGCGTCCATTTCTGTGTTCTTTGCCCTTGCGACGGCAGCCTTCGCAAGCCTCTTGCAGGTTTTGTAGGCAGCGAAGTTCTCGGGACTTCGGCTCTTCTGCCAGCGTTTGTATGCTTCCTTCTTCCTCTTCACGACTCGCTGGACCTCCTCGTTCCAGAACCACGCTGCCTTGTCTCCTCTGAATCCACCTCGCGTCTCACCCAGGACCTCCTTGGCACATCGCAGGATGGTCTCAGCCGCGTTGCCCCAAGTCCATTGTATTGGCCCGTTAGGATCTGGGAGACCGACTTCCATTATCTTTCGCCTGAGGTCATCCTTCTCCGCTTGGTGCAGCTTCCACCACCGGATTCTCCTCTCGGTTCTTACCCTTGTCTTCTTGGGGAGGTCTATCGCAATGTCTGCCAGGAGGGGCCTGTGCTGGGGAGCCAGGTCTTCGCCGGGTAGAACTTTGATATCCTTCACAGTTTTGAGGGTTGATCTTCTCACCAGCACATGGTCAATTTCCGTCTGTCTCCCTCCACTGCTGTAGGTTACCTTTTGAGACTTCCTTTTCGCGAAGAACGTGCTGCAGACTGCCAAGTCGTGGGCCGTAGCCAGGTCCAGAACCCTCTCTCCCTCAGCGTTCCTCGTCCTATCCCTCTACCTCCGTGCACCCTTTCTAGGCCTCTTCTATCACTGCCGACGTGGCCATTCAGATCACCTGCTATGGTCAGGTAATCGCCTTCCGGAACCGATCTTATGGCTTCGTCCAGGCTCAGATAGAACTCGTCCTTATCACTTTCGGGGCACCCGGCTTGCGGTGCGTACACGGAGAGTATTGGTCCAGTACCCCTCCTTCGTGTCTATCCTCACAGCCATGATCCGATCGCTGATCCTGTTCACAGCGGAGACATAGTCCTTGAGCGACTCCGCTACCGCTATGGCCACACCGTTCCGCTTGGTGTCTTCTCCATTGTAGTAGAGCTTGACACCTTCCCCGATTTCCCTGGCCTTAGCACCTTTCCATCGCGTCTCCTGAAGGCATATCCAAGTCCTAATGCCTCCATCGGCATAGGACTTGGATATTCTTGCGCGTCATCAGATCAGCAACCTCTCGGGACTTCCCAGTTAGCGATCCTACGTTCAGAGTCCCTATTCGAACTAGCTTCTTTGGCCGAGGCCGTTCACTCCTCGGTAGCCCTCGCATACTGACCACAGAACTCGGGCGGGGGTTCTGCGCGCCACTTCCGGGTGACGTCCTAGCTTTATCACTGATTCTTTGACAACTTTTAGACATGATTGGTGTGACTGGGGTATTCATCAGCCGGCCTGTCAACCTGGGCCTGACGCTGGTACTAGAACCATTTTTGCAATTTTTGCAAGGCATGGTTAGCCTCGGCAGGGATCGAACTCGCGGTTTTCAGGAGGTGCAGACATGAGTCTAACCTCTTAACCACTCGGCTATCCCTGCCTCTTATCTTGAAAAGATTACAAAATATAAATAGGAAAACGGCGGGTAAGTCGTACCTTAAAGTTGTTACATCCCAAAACCACTGCTACTATATTTTTTCCAATGTCGTGAACATCTCCTTTGACCGTGGCGAGAACAATTGTTCCTTGATATGGGCTCTGAACAAGAAAATGAAGTGTGTGAGATAGGACGGGTCTTTGATCAAAGACATGGGGCATACCTCGTCAGCAGACTAATCACTAAAATTTCTTGATGTTCTCTCACTTCTTGGTCCATCGAACGGTATAAGGGTTTGGGGAAAAAAAAGCCGCTACAGCCTTTTTCATCACACGTGCGGATTTGATCACCTTTAATATTGGTAGGGAATGCTTTATTTCACGTATGGAATGTGCAGAATCTCAGGCGCTTTCGCAAATAGGGGGCATTTTGGTGGCTGCATTTAAAATCGCGTAAAACATGTCCTTTTTGTTGAAAATGGACAAGCCTTAGGCGGGGAGGAGAGACTCCAGGGTGCGTGGCCATTTTCATTTTCCCGGAATTCCTGCCCCTCCTAGGCTTAGTCCTAAAGGATGCCCCGTATATTGCGATAGCGCCAAATTTCAAATTGTCCGTAAAAATTTCTTCGCTATGTTCACGTGGTTCACTTTTCTAAGTAAATGGTGAAGCCAGGGGCAAAATACTGAAAACGTCAAGTCTTGCGCGAATGCGATTGGACGAAAATCGTATCAAACCAATCCCATAATTAATATTTAAAGTTACTTGTGGCAAGAACATTTTTCCAGAACCAAAGAGTTCTCCAACAACGGCCATTCCATCCATCAATGGTCGCTCGATCACATTAAGTGGACGCGGATATTTGTCGGTCATGCGACGAGCCTCCTCTGTGTCCTCCACAACGTGCGAGTCAATGCCCTGTAATAAAGCAACAATACGAAGGGGGTGGAAGAAAGAGGGTAGGTGAGAGGGCACATGATGAGAAGGCGCAGACACTCGCATGCTGTGAATGAGCAAAAGTGAAAGTGGTCGAAGCGGTCTTGGGAAACCCTGGTGCTCTTGTGGAGCACTTTGAGCAAGGGAACGGGATATCTACGAGCTTAGTAGGCAAGTGGATATCCATTCCTTCAAAGGGATTGATCCACACAATTTCATCGTGGGATGTGCCCTGAAGAAAATAAAGATGTTAAGGCAGTTATGAAGACGGCATCTTTCCAAATGGGGGCGCGAGAACCGTTACTTCAGTGGTAAAGAACATTTGGGAAAGGTCCCATGAGCACATTATGAAGGAAGCACTGACTATGAGTCCGATGCTTAAGGCAAGCGAAGGAGGAGAAAAGAAAATGAAAAAGGACATTTTTAATAGGGCACGATAGGGAGACTCTTATACAGATCATCGCATCAAATATTTCGTGTCACATTAATTTTTTTCACGGAGGTATTTGCGTACCTGATAATTCAATGGATCAACAGTAAAATAGACTTAGTAATATATTGAACACAAATTAATAAAAGCAAAAAGGAATCCAAAAAGAATTCGAAAGTTTTTCTTTATTACAAAGACAATGAGCAGGTGCTCGGTGCAGCAG